GGGTTCCAAACTGGTGCCGCATACTCCAATATGGGCCTAACGTACACGGTGTACAGGGTCCTGAATGATTCCTTATTAAGATGTCGGAATGCTGTTCTGAGGTTTGCTAGGCGCCCATATGCTGCAGCAGTTATTTGGTTGATGTGCGCTTCAGGAGATGTGCCTGGTGTTATGTGTGTGTGTGTGTGTGTGTGTTTGTGTGTGTATGTGTATGTGTGTGAGTGTGTGTGCATGTATGTGTGTGTGTGCACTCACTTATTTGTGGTTGCAGGGGTCGATACACAGCTCCTGGCCCCACCTCTTCTCTGGTCGCTACTAGGTCCACTCTTTCCCTGCTCCATGAGCTTTATCGTACCTCGTCTTAAAGCTATGTATGGATGTTGCCTCCACAATAGCACTCTCCAGATTGTTCCACTTCCTGACAACTCTATGACTAAAGAAATATTTCCTGATATCCCTGTGAGTCATCTGAGGTTTCACTCTTCAGTTGTGACCTCTTGTTGCTGTGTCCCATCCCTGAGACATCCTGTCCCTATCCACCTTGTCAGTTCCTCTCAATATTTTATATATCGTTATCACCTTTTCCCTAGTCCTACTGTCGTCCAGTGTCGTCAGGTTGATTTCCCTTAAGATAAGATAAGATTTCATTCGGATTTTTAACCCCGGAGGGTTAGCCACCCAGGATAACCCAAGAAAGTCAGTGCGTCATCGAGGACTGTCTAACTTATTTCCATTGGGGTCCTCAGTCTTGTCCCCCAGGATGCGACCCACACCAGTCGACTAACACCCAGGTGCCTATTTGCTGCTAGGTGAGCAGGACAACAGGTGTAAGGAAACGTGTCGAAATGTTTCCATCCTCCGGGAATCGAACCCGGGCCCTCCGTGTGTGAAGCGGGAGCTTTAGCCACCGGGCCACCGGGCCACCGTCAGCTCCGGAACTGGTCTTGTTGCTTCTAATTTCTTGACGTGCTTGACCAGGTGTGGGTTCCAGGCTGCTGCTGCATACTCCAATATCAGTCTGATGTACACGGTGTACAGTGTCGTGAATGACTTCTTACTGCGGTGTAGAAATGCTATTCTTAGGTTTGTCAGGCGCCCATATGCTGGACCGGTTATTTGGGTGATGTGCGCCTCATATGTGCTAGGTGTGATGCAAAGATCCTTTTCCTTGAGTGAGGTCTGTAGTCTTTGGCCCTCTAGCGTGTGTTCCGTCTGCGGTCATTTTTAACCTTCCCCAATCTTCACGACTTTGCACTTACTCCAGGAGCCAGTTACTGGACCAGACTTGCAGCCTGTCCAGATCCCTTTGTAGTGCTAACTGATCCTCATCCGTTTGAATTCTTCCTATTATCTTCATATCGTCTGCAAACAGGGACACCTCAGAATCTATCCTTTCCGTCATCTCATTCACATATACCAGAAACAGCACAGGCCCTAGGACTGACCCTTGCTGAACCCCCGCTCGTCACATATGCCCACTCTGACACCTCGTCACGTACCATCGCTCGTTGTTTCCTTCCTGTCAGGTGTTCTCTCATTCATTGCAGTGCCTTTCCTGTTATTCCTGCGTGCTCCTCTAGCACTAATCACTTGTGGGGAACTGTGTCCAAAGACTTCCTGCAGTCCAAAAAAATGCAGTCTGCCCAACCCTTTCTCTCCTGTTTTACTTTTGTCACCTTGCAAAACTCCAGTATGTGACTCAGGATTTTCCTTCCATGAAACCGTACTGGTTATAGTGTATAAGCTCATTCCTTTCTAAGTGCTTCACCACTATTCTCCTGATAAGCTTCTTTACGACTTTGCATACAATACATGTCAGTGACACTGGTCTGTAGTTTAATGCTGCCTGTCTGTCCTTTTTCTTAAAAATTGGGATCACATTTGCTGTTTTCCACACTTTAGGTAGTTGCTCTATTTCGATAGATGTGTTGAATATTGTTGTTAGTGGCACACAGTGTGCCTCTGCTCTCTCTCTCTCTCTCTCTCTCTCTCTCTCTCTCTCTCTCTCTCTCTCTCTCTCTCTCTCTCTCTCTCTCAGGACCCACAGAAAGATGGTGTTCTTTCTCACTGCCTTTGAGGTATCTAGTTCGCTTAGTAACCTCTTCACCTCCTGCTAGGTTGTGTGTATTGTGTCCGACACTTGTTGGTGTACCCTACCATCTTGGTACGCTGGAATCCTTTCTCTCTCCATTGAAAATACTTCCTTAAATCTCGTATTCAGTTCTTCACACACTTCTTGGTCGTTTCTTGTGATATCCCTCCCTTCCTTCCTCAGATTGATTACCTGGTCCTTGACTGTTGTTTTCCTCCTTATGTGACTATACAACAACTTTGGTTCAGATTTGGCTTTCAGAGCTATGTCATTCTCGTATTGCCACTGGGCCTCCCTCGTTATCTATGCATATTCGTTTCTGGTTCTTCAGCTAGTCTCCTTATTTTCCTGGGTCTTTTGTCTTCTATATTTTTTCCATTCACTAGAACACTTAGTTTTGGCCTCTTTACACTTTTGGGAGAACCAAGGGTTCGTTCTGGTCTTCCCACTGTTTCTGTTGCCCTTGGGTATGAACCTCTTCTCTGCTTCCTTGTATTTTGTAGTGACATATTCTATCATTTCATTTACTGTTTTTCCCACCAGTTCTCTTTCCCACTGTACTTCATGCAGGAAATTCTTCATGCTTATGTAGTACCCTCTTTTGTAGTTTGGCTTCTCCCATCCTAATCGTGCTGCTTTACTCCCCTTTTAACTCCACAATGTATTCGAAGCTCAGGACCACATGATCACTAGCTCCGAGAGGTCTTTCATGTGTGATGTCACCAGTGCCTGAACCACTAATCGTCCAGCCTTGATTGTTCATCCTCTCCTCTCTCTCTCTCTGGTAGTGTCCCTAACATGTGTGTGTGTGTGTGTGTACTCACCTATTTGTGGTTGCAGGGGTCGATTCACAACTCTTGCCCCTGTCTCTTCGATGGTATCTCTCTCTCTATCTGTCCGTACGATTCCACAGTTATTTAGGTTATGAATTCCCGTTACTTGGTTTATTGAGTTTAAAGACTATCGACTATGCAGAAGTCACCAGTTAAGAATGCTTTACTCCCTAATATGTGGATTATAGTAAACTTGTTTATAACACATTATTTATGCTGAGATGAAGACTTATATGAAATGACAGGTGCCGCCAGGCCGGGTCGAGGCTCGGGATGAGTTGCAGTACTGTCTTGCCCCGAAGGTAGTAACAGAAGAAGTTCATACTGGTAAATGAGAGCAAGCTTGAGCTACCTATAGCTCTGCAGGCAGCCTCTCTCTTCCTCATTCTCTGTCTCCACATAATCATATAACTCAACCTTGCTCTCTCATCAGTAGTGCCATCCAATAATCTCTAAATTTACTACCAAAGGAAAGAGTTAATGGAATTATCAACCACATGACTTTGATTCACTAAAGTTTTTAATATTAATATCATAATTCATTTACCTTTAGCATTAATATTATTTTTCTTCTCATTTTAATAATGATTGTTAATCATATTAGTAAATAGTGGGTAAAGTTCCTCGATATAACTCCGTCCATATCACTCCTCCCCTCTCCTGACTCCCACTACTACTCTCCCCTCTCCTGACTCCCACTACTACTCTCCCCTCTCCTGACTCCCACTACTACTCTCCCCTCCTGACTCCCACTACTACTCTCCCCTCTCCTGACTCCCACTACTATTCTCCCCTCTCCTGACTCCCACTACTACTCTCCCCTCTCCTGACTCCCACTACTACTCTCCCTCTCCCTGACTCCCACTACTACTCTCCCCTCTCCTGACTCCCACTACTATTCTCCCCTCTCCTGACTCCCACTACTACTCTCCCCTCTCCTGACTCCCACTACTACTCTCCCCTCTCCTGACTCCCACTACTACTCTCCCCTCTCCTGACTCCCACTACTACTCTCCCCTCTCCTGACTCCCACTACTACTCTCCCCTCTCCTGACTCCCACTACTACTCTCCCCTCTCCTGACTCCCACTACTACTCTCCCCTCTCCTGACTCCCACTACTACTCTCCCCTCTCCTGACTCCCACTACTACTCTCCCCTCTCCTGACTCCCACTACTACTCTCCCCTCTCCTGACTCCCACTACTACTCTCCCCTCTCCTGACTCCCACTACTACTCTCCCCTCTCCTGACTCCCACTACTACTCTCCCCTCTCCTGACTCCCACTACTACTCTCCCCTCTCCTGACTCCCACTACTACTCTCCCCTCTCCTGACTCCCACTACTACTCTCCCCTCTCCTGACTCCCACTACTACTCTCCCCTCTCCTGACTCCCACTACTACTCTCCCCTCTCCTGACTCCCACTACTACTCTCTCCCTCTCCTGACTCCCACTACTATTCTCCCCTCTCCTGACTCCCACTACTACTCTCCCCTCTCCTGACTCCCACTACTACTCTCCCCTCTCCTGACTCCCACTACTACTCTCCCCTCTCCTGACTCCCACTACTACTCTCCCCTCTCCTGACTCTCATTACTACTCTCCCCTCTCCTGACTCCCATTACTACTCTCCCCTCTCCTGACTCCCATTACTACTCTCCCCTCTCCTGACTCCCACTACAACTCTCCCTCTTCTGACTCCCACTACTACACTCCCCTCTCTTGACTCCCACTACTACCTCCCCTCCCTTGACTCCCACTACTACACTCCCTCCCTTGACTCCCATTACTACTCTCCCCTCTCCTGACTCCCACTACAACTCTCCCTCTTCTGACTCCCACTACTACTCTCCCCTCTCCTGACTCCCACTACTAGTCTCCCCCTCCCCTCTCCTGACTCCCACTACTAGTCTCCCTCCTCCCCTCTCCTGACTCCCACTACTAGTCTCCTTCCTCCCCTCTCCTGACTCCCAATACTACTCTCCCCTGATTCCCACCACAACATCCGCTGCTCCCGAGCGTGTTAGTTGGTGTGTTAGTCACCAGGGGTGAGGGAGGCTGGGTATTGCCAGACAGGCGGACTGCGGTCGCAAAGATCAGTTTCCACCTCGCCTTGGTTGGGGTTGTACGTGGCTGTGGTGTACCTGTGACTCTAGTGTGGTATAGTACTGTGGTCTCGTGGGACGGTGGGGGTAACTACGCTATACTGTCAGTGCCTCGATTTCCCACTTCGAATACATCATTTTTTTTAAGTGACTGATGAGTGTCGTGTTACATTCTGCATCACAACGGTAATTTGTGTTCATACCCTTCTGAATTGATGCCCATGTGAGAATTCATGTTTAAGTAGGTGTTCGACGTCTTCGCGCAGTTTTGTATTTAAAACTTGTCCCTTTGTGACAGTGTTATTGTAAAGTAGTGATTGATGAGTTTCTAATATATTTTTATTACTGCTGACATTGGTTGGTACTTACGTGAGTTATAAAATTAACGAAGTATGTAATGATGTTGGTCTGCTCACAGTATGTACAAGGTACCCGGCATGCTGACTATGTATACGGTACCTGACCTCCTGACAGTGAGTATGTATAGGTAGCTGGTCTCCTGACAATGTGTAGCTATACTGTGCTTTTTTCTTTGACACTGAGGAGGTATATAATTAATATTCTTTGTTGGATAATTGATTTGAAAGGCTGTAGACTAGACTCGGGGTCGTGAAGGCTTCATGCAACCTGTTCACCAACAATTAATAATAACTAATCACAGCAATATGAAGTTACTTGGGAATTAAGAGTTTGGAAAATAGACAGACGATTTTTTTTTGTTTGTTTACAGTTCTGTGTAATGACGAGAAGTGTGTTTATTCTACTGAAAGTTTCCATATTCTAAAGTATTTATGTGATGCATCTTCATATATATATATATATATATATATATATATATATATATATATATATATATATATATATATATATATATATATTATATATATATATATATATATATATAGTCGTGCCTAATAGGTAAAACTGGTCATTTAGCAAGAACTCATTTAAAATTAAGCCCTTTTAAAAATTTTCTCTTATACGTTTAGAGATATATTTTTTCATTAAGGTTAATGTAAAATTTTTTAATTTTGCACCAAAAGAATCTTAGAAAACTTACCAAACCTTATTATAACAAGCGCAATTTAATTTAGCCTAATCCAACTAAATATATTTTTGATAAGTTTATAATAATTTAATAAAAACAAACACAATGAAATATATTTTTTTCGTTACGTTCAGAATGACTTTTGGGAAATTATTGCTTACAAATTTTCACTTGTCTTATATGGCAAGATGAGCGTTGCTATTTAAGCCAAGATCGCAAGTTTTACATATTTGGCACGACATATATATATTCATATATATATATATATATATATATATATTATATATATATATATATATATATATATATATATATATATATTATATATATATATATATATATATATATATATATATATATATATATATATATATAATATATGTGTGTGTGTGTGTGTGTGTGTGTGTGTGTGTGTGTGTGTGTGTGTGTGTGTGTGTGTTTACTCAACTAGTTGTGGTTGCAGGGGTCGATTCACAGCTCCTGGCCCCGCCTCTTCACTGGCCGCTACTAGGTCCTACTGGGTCCTTTCTCTCCCTGCTCCATAAGCTTTATCATACCTCTTCTTAAAGCTATGTATGGATCCTTCCTCCACTACATCACTTCCAAGACTATTCCACTTCATGACAACTCTGTGACTGATGAAATACTTCCTAATATCCCTGTGATTCATCTGAGTCTTCAACTTCCAACTGTGACCCCTTATTGTTGTGTCCCATCTCTGGAACATCCTGTCTCTATCCACCTTGTTGATTCCTCTCAGTATTTTATATGTCGTTAACATATCCCCCTCCCCTATCTCTCCTGTTCTCCATTGTCGTCAGGTCGATTTCCCTTAACCTCTTCTCGTAGGACATTTCCCTTAGCTCCGGGACTAGTCTTGTGTGTGTATATATATGTGTGTGTGTGTGTATGTGTGTGTATGTGTGTATGTGTGTGTATGGGTGTGTAGTGTATATGTGTGTGAGTATGTGTGTGTGTGTGTGTGTGTGTGTGTGTGTGTGTGTGTGTGTGTGTGTGTGTGTGTGTGTGTGTTTGTGTGTACTCACCTAATTGTGGTTGCAGGTGTCGAGACTCAGCTTCTGGCCCCGCCTCTTCACTGATCGCTACTAGGTCCTCCCTCTCTCTCTGCTTCCTGAGCTTTGTCATACCTCGTCTTAAAGCTATGTATGGCTCCTGCCTCCACTACATAACTTGCTAGGCTATTCCACTTCCTGACGAATCTATGACTGAAGAAATACTTCCTAACATCCCTGTGACTCGTCCGAGTCTTCAACTTCCAATTGTGACCCCTTGTTTCTATGTCCTTTCTCTGGAACATCCTGTCTCTGTCTTATTCCACGCAGTATTTTGTATGTCGTTATCATGTCTCCCCTAACCCTCCTGACCTCCAGTGTCGTAAGTCCGATTTCCCTCAACCTTTCTTCGTAGGACATACCCCTTAGCTCCAGAATTAGCCTTGTTGCAAACCTTTGTACTTTCTCTAATTTCTTGACGTGCTTGACCAGGTGTGGGTTCCAAACTGGTGCTGCAAACTCCAGTATGGGCCTGACGTACACAGCGTACAGTGTCTTGAACGATTCCTTGTGTGTGTGTGTGTGTGTGTGTGTGCAGTCCAAAAACTATCAAGCTAATAATGCTCATAGACTCTGAACCGAGAAGGTTACAATAAAATTCTTGCTAGCAGGTAGTTATACACTAGGGAATTACCATAAGCCACCACTGCGACCACGGATGCATATTTTAAGGAAGCATCACCAGTGAACATGGTCAGTCATGAGATCTAGCTCCTGTCTCTTCAGCCAAAACGACCTACCTAGTCTGGGACAATTTCCCACAGCAGTTCTTCCCCTGTTTATATGCTCTGATCGTCTGACGTGTATATCTCAGTGCATATACACTGACAGTTTAATCCCTGTTTTAAGGATTAAAGTAGTCTTGATTGGTAGTGTGCAAGCCACATGCAGCCTTCGTGACCGTCAAGCAGTTGATGCTACCTAAACTCCTCCTCCTCAGTCTTCTTATATAAACAACTACGTAATATACAGAATTACAGCTATAAACTCTTGCACATATCCAGTGAAGCCATCGCGTCCTTGTTGCTTGAGTAGACTAGAGAGCGATGTGCCCAGGCAGTAACTCTAGTCGAGAGATAGAGTTACGTAACCCAGCCCAGAGGTAACTAGAGACCCGCCTAGACTTGTGATAGGTGAGAATGTATCTGGGCTGGTCTCCAGAGCAACCAGTCAGACGCCCCCAAGCACCCTTCACTCCAACAACGTTATCAACCTCCTTGTTTACTGCTAGCTCCTTCCTACTGACATATTTGTTTTTCTCACAGTAATCTTCCATGCTCACTATATCTTGGTGGGAGACCAACGATGCGCTATGGCAAACATAAATCGTTTTCCGTGATCTGCATTGAAACTTCTTTTTTTTTCCTTTTGTAAGTTATTGTATTCTTTATTTCATTTCCATTTTTAGCATGACTTTAGTTTAACAAAGTTCTTCAAAAGTAGTGTGATGAACACTTGTCGAAGAGGAATAGGAAAACATAGACAAACAGGACAGCAAAAATTACTGTATATTTCGACCTTCAACTGAAATCCTCATGAAGTTAAGCTTAATAACAAATAAACTATTTTTGGTACTTCTAGATCGTTACACGATGACCTTAACTAATTATTTATGACTGAAATCGATTGTATAATATTCACCAGGATGGAGTTCTAAAACGGGTCTTAATGTTTCGACGATCGGTTGAAATCGATTAGTTTAGGTTAGGTTAGGTTAGGTTAGGTTAGGTAAGATTCGTCAGTCAACAGGACAAGTGTTTCCTGACTCTGGTCTTAGTCGTATGACTAACCCGTGGCTTACCAATCCACCCCTTTAAAAGTTAAAGTTCACTTATATATATGATCAAAGCCTAACCTCGAAATCGATTTATTTTGTCTTCATAATTTACAGTTATTATTGAGGCTCAAACGGCAGCAGTGGTCAGTTTGATCTAGTTTAACGGCGAAGAATTTTCTGTATAAATAACTTACCAACCATTGTTTGCTCCGTTGCCTACATATTTTGTGATGGTACAGTGACCACCACACTTCTGAAAACACTCTTGGCTGGTAGCTTGATCCATAAAGGTCTTAATAAAAATTCACGAAATTAATGAGTTCAGTGGCTCATTTCATCGTTCTTTATACCTTTGACGAGTTTCGAGAGTCTTTCCACTCCAGGAGCCCGGCTATGGGCAAAGCTTGTCTATTGCTAGCCTGATCAACCAGTCTATTGATGCTGGAGGCCCGCTCCCCCACATATACATCACAGCCTGGTGTCAGCATAGTTGCTGATCCCCTTGTATGTGTAGTATAGCATATCATAGTACCATTCATGTGTTTACATAGAAGATCCCTAGGCCGAGTGACTGTGTGACGTCACGGGATACAGCTTGAGTGTGAGGCGAGCTACCTCGGCCTCAGTCGGCGTATAACATCCAGCTAGGCAGTGATACGGCAGGCTGGGCTCCATCTCCCATTATCACAGACAATATATCGTTACCATCCAACAAGTGTGTCTACCTTCAACCCTTGTTATCTCCTTTTAAGAACTCCTACGACACTGGTTGATCTGGCACCTGGTGAAAATACTTGTCCAGCTTCCTCCTGAAGATTTCTACACTTGTTCCAGCAGTGTTTCTGATATCCTCTGGTAAAGTGTTGAATAATCTGAGGTCACGGATGTTGTTACAGTGTTCCCTTGTGTCCGTATCTCTCGCTCCAATGTGTTGTTATGGCAGTGTGCAGATTTGGGACCAGGCCTTAAAAATATTCATTCATTAATTTACGCGTTGGTTCTTTCATTCATTTAATCGTTGGGGAGTCGTTTAGTCACTACTTGGCTCTCACTCTTTATAACCTTGTTAAATCATAGATTAGCTGGTTAATTGGGTTTAAAGCCTGTATACTTCACAAGACATTAAAGGTACATATAACCTATTCACCACCAGTCAAGAATACTTTGATGCCTGAAACAGGTAGTAAACTCTTCCTTTATCCTACTCCTCCTTTATCAAGGAAGTTGATTGCTGACTTAGAGATCATTGCAAAAGTCAGACTTTAAACCGTAGCTCTTTAAATTAATGCCTTTTTATTAGCCAAGGCTGATTAAGAATCTTCAGTTTGACATCCTAATGACCT